TTATGGTTTGATTTTAGTTTTATTTCGGTAAAATTAAAATAAGTAAAAATTGGATAAAAGAGTAAGTTGAATCTATTTACCATCTCTCTAGATTATCTATCCATATAATATATTCCACAATCATTCCGCTGCACACACTCAACAAAACCAACCATTCCTAAAACACAAACTTGGACCACTTGTTAACCGCCTTCCTCCCTATTATCAACAGAAAACCGCCTTTTTAGAAATACAAAAAAGGCAAAATTTCAACAATTAAATGCATCATCTGTTATCTACTTTGAAAGGGTAAAGAAGTACCACTAAAGTAGTGTCTTTGGCGATAACTAAAGGTTTTACTGGTACGCAATAAGTGAACAAAAATAGATATATAGCGTTGAATTATCCAACTGTGGAGATTTGGAATCTTTAAAAAAAATATAAAAAAAAAAAAAAAAGAAAAAAAGAAAAAAGAAAAAGAAAGACACTTCATTGATGACATGCATTGTAAATTTGTAAAAATTTAATGATATTTTCTTAACCAACAAAATATTACCATTTAAGAATCTGTGTTATATAAATTTTCGACAGAAGCATTTTCAATGCAAGTGGTGGAACTCAAACATAGATCTCAACATTTCATTTAATAGATGACAGGACTTCCGTTAGAGTCCTGGCCTGCTAAAGTATGCAAAACTGTTTTCATAATTGAACCAAATAGGACTCATCTCTCTGCAATCAATTAAAAATTTAAGGAAAGAAGTCAAAGTTTAGTAAGGATAGTGGACAACTTACTTTCGTGAAGGACGAGCATTGAAATTGAATACCAAATTATCATGCCGAGTTGCTCAATGAGTGAACCTGAAAAATCTGGGTTGGTGACATTTGCGCGTATCTCTATGATTCTAATTAGAACTCCAACAAAAAAACAAAGCCATGAGAATCGCCAGCCAAAGATCCCAACTTAAGGGCTTGAGGAAAAGCCACATGTCTTTGCGTTTATCATGTTTAGTTAAATATTGGTATAGATTCGAGCTCACATATGGGAAAAGCCACATGTCTTTGCATTTATCATGTTTAGTTGAACATAGATTCGAGCTCACATATGGCGTTGAAAACTCAATCCATGATGCCCAATCAGCCATTATGGTGGTGTCTCCCACTCCAGCATCCAACTGTTTGGGATAAATCGAAAAACATCATCCAGGCATTTTGTGGAGTCTAAAGGATTGATTCAGATAAACGAATGGATTTGAAATCAAAAGATTTGAGCTTACGTAAGGAATTGGCTGCTGAAATTGGATAACCAAAAGTCTAGGTAATGTTATATTAGAGTTATAGTGGAAATATTTTTTACCATTATGTAACTTAATTCATCCCTACTGAAACGAATTCGAAATAATATCTTACACTTTTTTATTTGAAATTCACACTATAGTTCTCCGAAATATATATATATATATATATATATATATATATATATATTGAAATCTTCTCAAATTAATCAAATTATATATCTTACATAATTGAACATAGATTCATTCATTTCAAATTCTCCAATCAAAATGAAACTATTAATGGCGAAGAAAGTGATTTTCTTATATCTATTTGGCGTAAAACAAAATCTTCTCAAATATTTTAATTATTCAAAATAATTCTTAAATGGTTCTATCATTTAAAGAGTTATTCTTATAAATAGGTATTAAGGTAGGTTACAGGAACCATTTATCAATGAACAAAACTTTCTTCTTGTCCTATTCTTTTTCCTTTATAGCGACATGATATCACCATACTATATTAATAAACTTAGTGTAAGTTTTTTCTTTACAAAAACAAACACTTAAAGTTTGATCCACTTAAAAAATGTAGTTTATTTTTCTTTCCATTGTTATTTATTTATAATATTATGTTAACATACATGATCTAATGATATTGTACAATCATAAGGATCTATAAATCAACAATACCTATTAAATAAAGTTAGAACAGAATCCACCGATAAAAAATTTCAATCAATTTCATCACAAAAATAGACAAATACAATTGAATCTAACAAGATTTAGTAATTAAATTGCAACTCGAATTAAGAAAATATAGTACAAAGGACTCCAAAATAGTATTTATTTTAAATAAATAAATAAATAAATCAACACGTGCATCTAGTTTAGAAATATATTATATATGCAGAGAGAGAATATTGTAAGAGAAGATAAATAAAAAAATAAAAAAAAAAACGAAAAAAGAAAAAAAGGATATCATACTGACCTGGACATCTATTATATTCTTAACAAGGTCATTGTAAGTTCCAACACTTTCTCCGTTTTCATTAACCTTGAAAGGTAACAATTGTAATTCGGCAGGGAACACATCTATGGAAAACCCAGCGGCATACGTCTTCCTGGTTTTAGGATCTTTGAGTGCTGTATCAAATTCGGTGAATCCAAGTTTCTTTGGAATTCCAATCTTCAGCGTGTCGATGGATGCATTCAAATTCGTTGGTGTCATATTGGTTTTAGGATGTTTGTGTACTTCAACAAATTGGATGAATCCATTTTTGTTTGGCTTCAGTGTCCCACTCAAATTCTTGGTGAAAGCTGAGCATCTTCCATGTATTTGCTTACCAACTGGACTTGACACCTGAGATATTCCTGTCCGTAGAACCTCGTCTTCAACAAATGTATCTCCTTTGCCAATTAATTAAATATGACAATAGAAGGAATTTAGTTTTTTTTTCCTTGTGCCTCGATTAAGAAATAATTAAAGAAGAACATGAAGATTCAATCTTTCTTCTTTCACAGAATTTCAGTCTTTTGGTTAGGGATGTTTCTTTGATTGATTGTTATAAACTGCTGTGTCTTTTAATGACTAGCTTAGTTTGTTTTCTTCTAATAAATTTCTTATTTTTTTCGACAGGGTGTTCGGGAAAAAATGAATACAATTTAAAATAAGTTAAATAACAAAGTAAAGCATTATACAATAAACATGGGATTTTAAGATTTTCACTGATACTCCTGTAAGGGCTACACCATTCAGATTTTTTAATGCTTGGTGCTCTCACTCTATGTTTCTCCCTATTGTTGACAGAGAATGGAAGCAATATGTTCGAGGTACCTCTATGTTTCAGGTTGTACAGAAGTTAAAGTCTCTAAAAAAGCCTCTTAGGGAAGCTTGTAGAGACAGATTCTCAAACTTCCCTTCACAGATCATCAAAGTCAAGGAAGTCCTTCACAGCTGCCAAGTTGAACTGGACAAGACACCACAAGATGAGGAGCTGAGACTGATGGAGAAGGCTCTTTCCATTGAATATGCAAACTTGCTTCTTGCTGAGGAAAATGTTATGAGGCAGAAATCAAGGGTCAGATGGCTCCAACTTGGGGACTCTAATACCTCTTATTTCCATAAATCTTTTCTCTCAAGGTCGAATAAGATGAAAATACTTAGTCTCACCACTTCAACTGGTGCCATTGTGGATACTGAGGATGGTGTTAAGAATGAAATCTTGACATATTTCAAAGCTCTGCTTGGAGAGAATCCACCACCACACTATGGGAGGGATGCACTCTTGCCATTCATCACAAAGGAAGTCCCTGAAAATTTACACCAATCCCTTGATGATATTCCATCTGATATGGAAATACAACAGTGCATCTTTGCCATTGACAAGGACAAAGCCCCTGGGCCGGATGGCTTTGGCAACCATTTCTTCCACCATGCATGGCCTATAGTTGGCAGATCAGTCATCAAGGCAGTGAGAGAATTTTTCCAAAATGGGAAGCTGTTGAAGGAAACTAATTCAACTTACTTATCTCTGGTACCTAAGTGTCAAAATCCCACTTGTATGAATGATTACAGGCCCATAAGTTGTTGTAATGTGGTGTATAAATGTATTGCCAAGCTACTGGCCCTCAAGCTGTAGCCCACTCTTCCCCTCATTATACAACCATCACAAACTACATTTGTCCAAGGCAAAAGGATCACTGATTCAATTCTTCTCACCCAAGAGCTAATGAAGGGATACCACAATTCTCCCCTTGCCCCTAGGTGTGCTTGGAAAGTTGATATAAGGAAAGCATTTGATACAGTGGGGTGGAATTTTATAATTGATTCACTCTACATGTTTGGCTACCCTCATAGGTTGATCCAATGGCTTCAAGCTTGCATAACATCTCCTTCATTCACTGTTGCCATCAATGGAGAGTTCCATGGCTACTTTCAGGGGGTCAAGGGTTTGAGGCAAGGGGATCCCTTGTCCCCCTCACTGTTTGTTATTTCTATGGAAATACTTTCAGGTATTATTAACAACTTTGTGGGCAGATGTTCCACATTTAAGTATCATTGGAGGTGCAAGAAGGTGGGACTCACTCAACTCTCATTTGCGGATGACTTGATCATGTTTTGCCATGGCGATATCACCTCTATTTCAATTCTCAAATCTGCCTTGGATCACTTCTCAACACTTTCAGGGCTCACTATTAATCCCTCTAAAAGCTCAGTCTTTTTCTCTAACTTGAACCAGCCTCATCAATCCATGATTTCAGATTTCCTTGGTGTTGAGATTGGATTATTGCCAGTCAAACATCTGGGAGTGCCACTAATATCTACCGGACTCAAAGCAGCTGATTGCCAGCCACTTCTTGACAAAATTACAGCCATGATCAATCACTGGTCTTCTAGGAGTCTCTCTTATGCTGCAGATTAGTTCTCATCAAGTCAATTCTCATCTCAACCCAAATGTATTGGTCCAATATATTTATATTGCCAATGAAGATCATCAATGACATCAATGCTCTCCTAAGAAGGTTTTATGGACTGGGGTGGACCTCAAAAAGACAGACTCTAGGGTTGCCTGGGCTAGAGTATGCAGGCCTAAGGCGGATGGAGGCTTGGGTCTTCCCAACCTTGGTTTGGCTAATAGGGCTGCTATCTTAAGGCGTATTTGGGAGTTACATACAGAGGAAAATCAAAGAATTTGGGTCTATTGGAGCAGAACTTACTTGTTTAAGGATGGTTTCTTCTGGACAATGAAGGTTCCACAATCATGTTCGTGGAACTGCAGGAAGATTTTGCAGCTGAGGCCTCTTGCCAGGAAGCTTCTAATTCATCAAGTGAAGAATGGTTATAGCACCCACTTCTGGACTAATTATTGGCTCAATGATGGGCCGCTCACACAGAGGTTCTCGGAAAATCAAATCCAAGCAATGGGATATAACTACAGCACAAAGGTCAGCCAATTCACTGATTCAAATACTTGTATTTTTCCCACCCAGCTCACATCGGCCATACCTGAACTTATTGGCCTTCCCCCTCCTTCACAATCCAAAGACCTAATCTTATGGAAAGCTGGACCATCTGGTATCTGTTCACTCAAGCATACAATTATTGCCTTATCACCACCCCCAGCCCCTATACCACGGTTCAAACTAGTTTGGTCTTCAATTGTCATCCCTCGGCAAAGGATGATACTTTGGAGCAGTGCAGACAAAGCTTCCAACCCTTGATAACAAGTGTATGAGTACTAGTGGATTAGGTACTATGTGCAGCCTTTGCTCAGCTTTCCCTGAATCGCACTCCCATCTGTTCTTTAAATGTGAATTTGTCTCACCATTATGGAGATTCATATAGGACAAATGTTGTTTCTACACTCAGAGTAATAGTTGCAGTCAATTTGTCAATTGGGCATGTTACCACTGGAATCAAGACACCATTGTTGATGGGGTGCGCAAGCTTGCATTGGCTGTATTAGTATACCATGTATGGCAGGAGCGAAATAATAGGCTTTATAGAAGCTCGCCATCAACGCAATCGAAGGTTATAAGGCAGATTGCATCCTCCATTTCCGAATCACTTAATGCTTCGAAAAATCTTTCCTTTCATGCCCTAGCTACTGAATGGGTCCTCTCTCCAATAGCTAATCGTCCACCACCAATGCCTCCAGACTAATTACCGTGGCGAGGGATGGAAGTTTCTCGAGCGCCACTATAGGATGTCGCCGAAATTGCAATGAACATCCACAGCTAACGAATCCATATTTGTTATCTATGGCTATTCATGGGTCTATTCTTGTCGAGAAAGATAGCTGCTGTAACTAGATGGTTAGTGATGAGCGCCGAAAAATGTGCATTTAAAGTCCCTAAGCGAGGTTATTTTAGTCCATTCATCTATCTTTATTTATCCGTTTTAGTTCTAATTTGTGTTTTTGTCTATTTCAGGTCAATAATGTTAAAACGGGCTAAAAATGGTTTCTTAAGGCTTTTTTAGAGTCAAACTAAGTCTTAGTAATGATTTGGAGCAAAAGGAGACTGATCTGGAGCAAAAAGAGGCTGATGTTGAAAAGCTGCCAAGTGAGAACGATCGTGAGAACAATCGAAAAAAGTGAGAACGATCGAACTCTGATCGATCAAATTTTTCTGAGATCAATCGAAAATGTGTTGGCAGAGAGCTGTCTTATTCCCACGCGTGCCCGAACTCCCACCTACCACATAGTACGGGATTAGATATTTTTGGGGTTATATTTCTGACTTAATGGTTAAGAAAATGACATTCTATATAAAGGGAAGTGACCCATTTTGTAAAAGAACTTTTTATTATTTTACTTTTACATTGTAATTTTTATTTCTTTCTCTAGAAAAGTTAGAGATTAAGGTTAAAAGAAAAGAAGGAAGTGGAGGCTCATCTCAAGAACACGTCTCTAGATCCACTCTCTCTCTGTGTCTAGAGCTTTAAAGAAGAAGAAGAGGAAGAAGAAGATGGAGCCATGTTTGGAGCTTGCCCTTGAGGGTTTCATGACCACATCCACCTCTTCCATGATTGGCTAGATCTACACTTAGGCCTTGGATGGGCCCTAAGTCTTGTGATTATCTAAACTCTTGTATTTCTATTGTTGGGGATTTATATATATTGTTGTGAGTAGTGTTCTAGCCTTGTGAATTTAATGAATCTTGATATAGTTCTATGATTTCTATGATTTAATTCTTCCTATTAATTCTCTAGTTTATTTACATGTCTATGTATGATTAAATTAGGAATTATTTCTTACATGATTCATATGGATTAATTCTTTCTATTGATTTTCTATTTGATTATATGTTGTCTTATGTGTGATTATTTGAGAATTAATCTCTACACAAGATTCTCTATATTGGTTGCATGTCTATGTGTGATTAATTAAGGATTTGGTGATGACTAAACATGGGTTTTCATTGGATGGGTTTGTCAATTAATTTGATGGATTATTCTTATACTTGATGGGTTATTTTACAATTTAATTCATATTTGTAGGTAGGTAGACAATCTATACTTGATTTGATGTTCCATGGCTTATTATTGCAAATTTCATGATTCTCTAGATAGATGTGTGCTACAATTGTGACTAGTTTGATGGGTCATGCTTAGATTTGATGGGTTGTTCTACACTTAGTTTATTTGTTGGTTAGGTAGACAATTCATGCATGAATTTGATGGTCCATGCTTAATATTGCAATTGGTAGTCGCATTTTGCTCACAACAATGTATTCCCCATTAACGAAAAGCAAGTAGTTAATTACATGAGTTTAGTGGTAATTCCAACACTCTAAGACCTCTCTTCATATCTCTTAAAAACCCTATCTCTCACTAGTTTACTTTACTTGCATTTTAATTTCATTGCACTTTAGTGTAATCAACCAATATCTCTCTTTACAATCATTTGGTACAATAGAGTTGAAGTTAAATTCCAATACGTATAATCCCTTGGGACGATCCCTACTCACTATACATCATTAGTTGTAGTAGTAATTTTTATAAATGTAAATTTGACTAGAAAGGCTTCCAAAATCACATTCATATTTTGAACTTGTGAAGCGACCTCTCGCATTAAAAAGTCCATTTTCTAAACACTTGGAAAGGGGTTCGTCAATTAGTTTTGTTGGGCCTTAAGTGTCGGGCTGTTGGGCTTGCTTGCTGCTGTTGTTGTTGTTGCCCTTATGGGCCACTCTGTAAATACTTTTATATTTTAATACATTTGCTTTACCATTCAAAAAAAAAAAAGATTTTCAAATAAAGTTAGAATAAAATCAAGATTAATTCACCACTAAATAAACAATTGGCTTTTTTAACCATTTTTTCTTTCCACTTTAATATATATATGTATATTTTCAACCGAAAAAAAAAAAAAAAAAATTGACTACTAATTTTATTTAGAGGCTCTTTAATATTCCAGTCATTTTGATATGTTAAAAACAAAAGTTCTAACAATTGAAAAAAGGAAAAATAAAATAAAATTGAATAGCATTCAAAAATAATTTTGGACAACTGAATCACAAATTTAGTTACTTGGTATATTACAAGCACGCAAAAGACATAAAAATAAATAAATAACAGAAACATTAATCATATAATATCGTAATAAAGTACAATACTAGATCCCCAGCTAAGAATAACGTAAGGTGGTAATAATAATAAATCAAAAATCAAAAATCTTATAAACAATGTTTCATTTGTATAATCAGTTGCCTCTTGCTGCAGAGATCGCGATTTTCATCATAAGTTGAAATACGAAGTAATAATTTGAAAATAAAAAAAAATAATGTTGATAAAAGATTAAACGTATTTCAACAAATAAAACATCTACGAAGCATAGGGTTCAAATTTTTTATCCCATTAGTGTGATCAGTATCAGTTCCAGCAGTTGGAAACTTCACCTCTAGCTAACTGGAACTGCAATAAGAAGAATAAAATAAATAACATAAAGCTGAGATTGGGAATGGGGTTCATTTCCAATATCTTTCTTCCAAAGCAGTTTATTTAGTTGCTGGTGACTGATGCAGATACTTTAAGCACTAATTTTGAGACTGTTGGATTAATTGAGTGCTCAAAACAACATATTTTTTTAAAGTCGTCGTGAATGACAGCAGCATTTGAAGGGGTCAGAAGTGTCCAATGGTTTATTTATCATATCCTTTTATATAAAATTGTAAATAACAGTGACCTCCCCTCAAGTACGGGCAAACTGCATATATATATATATATATAATTCGATTAGTATTTATTATCTTGATCTCCTTTGATATTTAGGGTATATATTCAACAACGCCTTAACATTTTCTTTCTAATATACGTGTTGATTAAAATTTATAAAATAATATTTTTACTATTCTATTATATAAAATGTAATCTAATATATTATTATAATATAGGAGCACACTCAAAATCACTTTTTGGAGAGGTCAAATATTAAGGAGGGGAGAGAAATACAGAGATGGTGGGAGATGAAGGAGTGCCGATGTGTTAAAAGGCATAATGGCATACAAAGGGAAGAGAAGGTTGAGAAGCACCTTCCGCAACAGTTGTAAGAAAACAAGAACTCTAGATACAGCAATGGATCAACCCGTTTTTACTGGGTTTGATTCCTTTTTAATCTTTTTTTAATATTTTATAAATTTGGGACAAGTGTTTTCTTCTTCTTGGGCCACACCACCATCAAGATTGTGTTTTGTATAATAAATTAGGACATTTCCATAATTTCGGGTTTTTTATATTTTGAATTAAAATATAAAAGAAATAAAAGTAAAAATATTCAATCACATCTTTTTAATTGTGTTACAGATGAAAAAGTGATTTGAGGTGTGAATGGAAGTTATTTTCAATTTTTTTATTTTTTGGTATGAAATTTGACCAATTCTCAGGATTTCAATGTAATTAACTCAAATATAAATTTATACTCATTCAACTGATGGATAGATTAATGTATCTTTAAATGAAAATGGATGGACTTATTTCTAAATGAAAGAATCTCTTAATTGGTTAGACAAGGACTTCTATTACATCAATTACAGCGATGCTTCCTAGAGCAATTTATCAACGTCAATGACACGAATAAATTCAAGGTATAAGACACTTGAGATGGACCCACGGTTTAATTAATTTTTATTTTCTCAAAAGGTTCAGTTTAATTAATGGGTTAAGTACAAAAAACCCTCATCTACTATCGATATAGTGCATATCAGTCCCTGTGTAATAAAAAAACCTCCTATACTATCAATTTGTTGCGATTGGGTCCTTGGTGGTGTAAAATGACGATAATACCCTCCCTTCAGTTGAATAAATTAATGATTATAAATACAGGTCATGTAAAATGACCCTTTTGTCCAAATTTGTATAAAATGGGGTTTGTTTGGCAGAATGATAATATAAACCTCAAATTGTATAAAATTGGGATAACCTAAATCTAAATATAATTAAATCTAAAACCAAACATGCCCTTTGGTTTGGCAGATTGTCCTCATCGGCAAATCGAGTTGCACCAATCTGCCATGGTGGCGGCCATTTGCGGCAACGATGTTATGGTGGCCGGAGGGCAATATGCAGCGACGACGGCGACAATATGCAGTCACCGTCGCCGCACTTATCTCATCGGCGACTATGGGTCTCCATGAATTCAGGCGATTGCGGCATCCATCGATTCTGGCATCAATCTGCTATGTGTTTGCGGAGTAAGGGATCAATTGCGCCGACAATTCGT